ACAAAACACTTCTTCCAGTGTTTAACACTTACTGTAAAAAGTAAACTGTATTTCTGACCACCCTTTTTATTTTCCAATAAAACTTTCTTAATGCTAAAATGCAAGACTGGAACATATTAACTTCAAAGACACATAATGGCAACTGCTCCTTGATCTTGAATTCCATCAAATTTCAGGTCATTGTGGGGAAGCCAACAACCAGTTTAGTTAAATGCTTAATGACATAAAAAACAGTGATTGATTGCCATAAAACGGCTCCTAGGGACTACAGAATGAGAAGACTCTCAGAAGTTATTCAACATTCCCAACTAAATAGAAGAAATATTTGGTTACAAAGCTAAGTTCCTGCCAGCCAGACGGTGAAGAGCAAAATGTATGTATTTCCCGAGAGAAAACCAGGATAATCTTTAAAAAAGTTACTAATAAAAGTTTTGTTTCATCCACTGACTTTAAAAATATATTTCAGGAGGATATGAAACAGAAAACAATGCAGTCGCTTTTTAAGCAATGCAAACAGCACATAACTGTATATCCTACTACAGCCTACAAAAATATTTATCTTCTCCCTACAATTAAAAGCAGAGCAGAAGTACTCCAGGACTTAGAAACAACACGTATTAAGCGACGAGAGGCTGTCGGCACTTGTGTAGGTATATGTCGCTTGGCTGGCAGGGAGATGCAAGCGGGGAGGGGTGTCCAGTGTGCTGCGCTGAGCCAGCAAACACATTCACATCACCCTAACGAGGGGGTTCGTCTCGATTCGGGCGAGCTTTGAGCGCCAGGTCCTGCCGTGGCTCGCTCCTGCAGCATCGCAGGCACAAGACAGATGGCAGTGCAGCCCAGCGAGAGCTGCGGCTGCCGTCCTCCCTCTGGGTCTAACTCCTATTATCCACTTGTAAATTAACCTGTCAATTTATCAATCAACACCATCTTGATTCTCCCCTGTTCCACTGCCCAGCATTGCAGTGAATTTGCCTCGTAAATAACTGGGAGCCCCATGTTTGTTAGTATTGTGAATGAGTTTATTATCACTTTGATGACTGCTATGAATCACAAATGCTGCCGAGAGCCTGATAAGGGGGGGGGGGAGTACATGCACACATTAACACAGTTGAAACTATTTGGGAGATAACAGATCGAGTTCTAGTGATAGCAAATCATTTCAACTGGGGGGGAAATGGCTAAAAATTGTAGGTTTTGTGTTGGATAAAACTCTGAAAGCACAAAATACAAAATAAAGAGGAACAGGATATTGTGTCTAAAGCTCAGAGCTATCTTCAGTGCTACAGTGCTGGGATATTTCAACTTGGTCCTAGAATTTCAGAGGCACTATTAGATTTGATGCCCTATCTTCAAGCTTCAGAGGGGAAGAAATATCCTTTGAGAAGCAACAAGTATTTTATATATTTATTTTTGCCAGTTTAAGACTACAAGATCTGCAAGTCATTTATGCTATGAAAAAGCTGAAGGAATGCAAATAAAAATAAAAGATACTTTTAAAAGCAAGTTAAAGGGAGGAGGAATTTGAATATAATCTTTATGATGAGAAAAATGCTACATTAAGAACATTCAAATGTGTTTATTGAACAATTTTGTTTCTCCTGATGAAAGTCTCAATGTTGCTCAAGTGAATTAACTTACTTTATAGACTCAAAAACTGTAACAAATTAGTGTTGCCTACCTCGGCATTTAGCCTTTAAATCATATTTAATAATCTATAAAATAATTCTATGAAAGTACAACCATTTTAAAGCAGTCCTTTGAGACATCAGAGTTTGGTGGCATATTTGCTCTCTGAAGCCAAATGAAACATAACTAAGATCTAACTAAATTATAAACTGCATGTTAAAAAAAAAAAAAAAAAAACAGATGTTTGACTCTTTTTAAATACAACCGATCTTTTGCCAAGTGTAAAAACCAGTTACTGGCTGAAATACGTTAGAAATCTTAAAATACACCGAAGTTTATTTAGAACGTATAAGCAGTGTAATGAAAAAGAGGCAAAATCTGTTATATTTTATCACTGCCATTTTTTTTAGGTATTACAATGGGAGTAAACGGTAAAGTTGAGTTAAAATCTAAGCAGAGTTTTATATATAGAATTAAAGAGTCATGGGTTTTATAAAGCAGCCAACACATTCCTATCCCTTTTCCCCACTTGCATCATTTTTTGGTGTATTTACTCATTATAATTTTACCACATCTTAATTTCTTAAATGCTTCTTTAAAAGTGAGTAGAAAACATCACTAAATCTTGTAATGCTTTTTTAATTCTGGTTTTATTTTTACCAGCTTGGTTTTCCATAGAAAATATTATCTAAATTCCAAATTATTTTAGAAAACAGTGATGAATAGACATCAGTCACTTTGTTAGATCTGGTTTGTTGCTATCTATCGAATTCCAGTTAAGGTATGGACTGAGTGCAGATCCTACATAAGTTAAAAATCCTTATGGAATCTGAGTTGTCCATGGATTTTAAAGCTGAATAAACCTAGTTCAACCTGAGCTGTGCATGTAAAACTACAAGCTGTGAATTGGAATGCCTGGGGTAGAAAGAGACTTAAAGGACAAGCTAAAATAAAACATATATAAATATTTTCCAGGGCTTTCTATAGCTTTACTAAAAACCTAAAAACCAGCTTATGGAACAAAGGGCAAGAAACACACATGCCCACAGAGAAACAGTTGTCACACAGCAAAATCTCTGGCACAATTAAAGTGGAGGAGCAGGGTGTATACTCAACATTGTTCTGCCCACTGTATCATTGGTGGAAAAGTAATGGAAAATGAAATTATTTGCTAGAATGCAATTTAAGGAATCTGATAGGTTGTCCATTTTATTCAATTTATAATTAAGATAGTGTTTAAATTTGAAATGAATTCTATATATGCATGTTCAATAGGCTATAGCACAACAATAAGAATGGAATCACATCTCATTTTATCATAAATTGTGTAATAAGCGATAAGGTAAAAACTAGGGCTAAAATCCTGCCAGCAAAAATGAAAGAGAGCGACCTCAATTGCCCTAATTCATTCTGCTTTCTTTCTTTCTTTTTTTTTTTTAAACTCTTCATTTTCCCTCTGTTCACATTATTAGCTTACACATGAGTGCATTATTAGAAAATAACAAAGCCAAACAGGGAAACTTGGAAGAAGCAGGAGATAGGATCCCCTCTACAGCTGAAAGGTATTCTCATTTCATTGCTTAGGAGTTGCAAAAATAGTTTTCTTGCCCAGGAAGGACAATGACCTCTCTCTTTCAACAAGCTTGGTGGTTGGTCTTTTGATGGGAAAAAGTAGGGGATACAACATCTGGTAATTTGTGTTCCTGAGCTTAGCTGAGGTCTTAACGATGTAAGCAGATTATTCCTGAAGAAGAACAAAAAAAATTCCGGAAGACTCAATGAACTATTTAAAGTTATTAACTGGGGCATTCTGGCACTTCAACACTCTTTTCGGATTCCTTTTCCTTTTAGAGGCTTGCCTTCTGATCAGCTTGTTCTAAAAAAAGAGCTCTACCACCTTCCAACCTCACCACGCTTGTCTGGTGGTCCACGCATGTTCTGTCATGCGTGCCAAGTCGCCCTTTTTTCCTCTCCACTGCAAGGAAGATGATTATTTTTTTGATTAAGTTTTTCCCTGCAGAACACTGAATGCTTGTATCACCCCTCTGAGCTGCTGTGCGGGTCAGGACAGAGAGCAGCAGCCGAGCTCAGACTAAGAAAGAAAAAGGAAGAAAAACTGATGGGTGAAGAATGAAGGAAAAGATAAGTTATGATTACTCTTGAGCAGGAATTCCATGCTGAAAACAAATATTCCAAGGAAAACATCCTTTATTCCTTCCTCAACACCCTTCACCCTGCTTTAAACAGCTTTGCACAATTTTAGCTCTTATGCCTCAACTTGCTATAAGTCTTCCAAACATTTTAATTGCAATAGCGTAGTGATTTAAAACATCTGTTGAATTTCACTGTTCCTTCTACATGCAATAGACACATATTTCCCAACCTACACACAAGACAACAGTCCAAGTTTAAATTAGACCTGTAGTTTACTGCCTGCAAAATAGTCATGTTGTTGAATGGAACAAATGACCAAGCTTCTAAGAGAATCAATATCTGTTAGATGTAAAAATGGAGCAAAATCTTAGACTAAGTCTAACCTTAGTTATAGATTTTAGTAGGGAAACTCAGAATTTAAAATGAAACCAGAGAATTAGAGCAAATAGACAAATATTTCAACCAAAATTCAGTATGCTGCTGATTAAGAGTGAAAAGCAATGTGGTCCCATCAAAAACCTCTCCTCATAAGCATTCATTGGTCTTTTTTAACAGTCATTGTATCTTTCAAACGTATTTCAACAGACTCATAGGAACTTCACTAAAAACTTTGTAGAAATATACAGTCTTAGACTACTATGACCTGGAGCACTTGCAGTTGTTAGTATCAGCTACCATGAGTTAAATGGCTAAACACTTCATTTACATTCATCTAGAGTTGACCATACTAGGTAAGTGCATGATATTCTGGTACACTGAGCTTTAAACTTAGAGTACTTTCCAAGACTCTGACAATGCTTACTATAAAATAGGAAATTTCTATTGGCAGTACTCATTTCCACACAACTTGAATGTATTTTCTGTATTTGTTCTCTTTTACATTAAACTCAATATTCATTTCCTAATAAAACAAATACACAATTTGCCGTGTTTATTTTAGAGCATTACTGAACCTCTGGAGTTGTTTTGTTAAATTATAGTTTTTAAAGTCCTGTGCTCATAAATTAAGAGCTATCCTATGCTAGGGAATATTCTGGAGCAAAAATTCCCTCTGGAGACTTTCAAGACCTTTGCCCACATAAAAACTGGAGGATTATTTTTTGTAATGTGTTCTATATCCGGAAATTAACACTGGAGAGTTTCAGAAGATGACTTACAACACAAGCTCTGCCTATGGCGTGGCCTGGTATCAACTGAAGTAAACCAACCAATACAACTCCAGTATCTTAAATCTTTATTTTTCCTCTATAGTTTTAAAATAAAAATTAAGTAATGCAAAATTCTTCAGTCAAGCTCTTTGTAGCAGACATCTGCCATTTTCACTGGAGGGACTGCAAAAAAAAAAAATCCATTCAACTCCTGGATGCAGAAATAAGTTCTATTTCTTTCCTTTTTTGTATACATAAAAACTTTAACTCCACATAAAACATCATGTTTACCTGTAATGTTTGATAGTTTTGCCAGCAAAACAATTACCCCAAACACGCACTTTTTTAATTGACTCATTCCCTTCATTCTGTACCCTAAGCCAACAACAGTGCAGCATATGCTGCTGTCCCCAAACATCATAATACACTGATGTCAAAGATGTCATCCTTCTAACCTTGGCCAGATCAGAAGGCTATCAATGAAAGACAGCTTCACGTTCTTGCCAGTGTACAGATGTATTCTTTATGTCAATAAACTGGTATTTTCTGTTTACATTATTGGCACTGAGGTCTTTGAACATGAGACAATTTGTAGCATGCTCCAGGTGTCCCATGCAATTGAGAGCACTGAGGTTCTGAAAGACACACAAGTCTCTTGCCTATCCTAGCTTTATGGCTTTCACCTTCTGGGTAAGATCAGAAAGTACCACCCTTCATTGCACACAGATGTAACAAGAGGGAACTGCTGGAATTTCAGAGTTTCATGTTTACTGGCAAGTTCTGGTGCCTGTTTTTCTTCATAGAAAAATAAGACAAAAATCAAAGTACACAGAGCACTGCACACACTGTACACAGCATGTGCTTCACTTCAAGAGCCAGCTCAAGTAGAAAGAGAATTTAAGAGTTGCAAAGACAGATATAGCACACTGTCATCACCAGTTGCCTCTTAGTAAAGCGAATCCTGTTTTTCTAACACCTACTTCTTTGCAAGAGTGCTTTATTCCCCATTGTTTACTTTTTAGAAGTAGAGGATCCGAAAAAGTGTTGACTCTTTTAATACATGACAAAAAGTTTTACACTGAAGTTTTTCCTCCTCCCACACAGAGCGAAAGTCTCAAACCTTTATTATCACACAGCATCACAGAACAAAAAATCAGCATGCTGCTATGCCTTCATTGTCAGCCTAAAGACAAATCCTTGGAAAACCAGAATACCTAGAAAATTGTAAGACTAAGAACAACACTGTAAGATCTTAGACAAATCATGACAGATGTGGGTTTAGAATTAGGGGTACAGCAGCAAAGCTCTTGGCCTTAGTGGAACAATGCAGACTGGTCCTAGAGAAGAGGTAGCTTTCAGGCAGCTTCATTTTCAGGGTGCTGGTCATGCTAAATCAAAACTTATTGGAGACTCTAGTTTGGCACCGCAGACTACAACCACTCCACCTGCCTCTGTGCAGATACTGAACTACTGAACCTCTCCTTGGTTAGATTGTGGAATTCTCTTGTAGGGCTCGCTTTACAACATAGCACAAAAGTGACAAGCCTCGTGGATATGATCAGACTGGAAGTATTAAAGACAAATTTTGCATTAATTTACACTTTAGGTAATGCCCTGAAAGAGCAAAGAGGATTCCAAAAGGTCGTAGCGTATGCCTATAGACCATTACCATCTTTGTAAATAAAACTGGTGGAAGTACAGAATAGAAAAGTAGACTTTGTGGTTCCGAAACTCCCATGCACAATGAGATTTTAAGGACTAACTTTACAAGGGGGTGGTAAAACAGCAACCTCTTGAAGATTCATGTGTGGTCATTACAGCTTCAAAAGTGGATGCTTGTACCCACTCTGCACTCGCTAATACAGTATATTTACAGGTAACTATACTCATCTTTCTAGGCAAACCTAAGCTCTTCAGAACTCACACATGTGAAGCTGCCAGCTCTACTAGCTGACACAGATACATCAAGAGAAGGCAAAGTATCACCTTCAGAATGAACCATTTGACCCAAGTCTGATACATGGGTATGCTCCAAACATGCACAAAAAGTAGAAATCAACCAGTCCGCTCCTTGCACCAAGATGTGCTATTTCTTACATTGCTGAGCCTCTACTAGAGTGGGACAGAAAGTAAGTTGGCTGTTTTTGTAACACTACAACACTACTAAAGACCTGTAAGAGAGGTTGAATATAGATCTGGAAAACAACAGACGTCAGGGCATGTCATATTACCACATACACAGGAGCATCTTCCTACTCATGTATTTCCATTTCGTTCTAAAGGACCACAATCAGAGCAAAGTAGTAATCAAAGTCAAAAAATTTAACAACAAAAACAACTTAGTCATTTGGCACTAAAAATAAAAAGACATTGTGATGTTTACAATAAGAGAAAACAGACAGAGGTATATTAGAAGGGGGGAAAGGGCTTTTTAACAGGCTACTTGAAAATATGTTTTAAAACAAATAACCCCTATAACCTCTACAAACACTCCTCCCAAGACTGATTCTGCACAGGCATGCAGGCCAAATATGGGACCAATGTGTTTTTAGCCTCTCTAAAAGAGAAAACAATATTATCACAACTATACTTAAGACATCTAATTGGTACAGTAGTGATGGCTTTTGAGATGGGTGGGTAGAGAGCAACTTACTTATGGTGACATTCAAAACGCAAGCCTGTGAAATACATTGGAAACAGACCAACACTATGAAAGATCCCAAATTTACTGCAACAATATCATCATCAGGTCTTCATCATGAAACATCTATCTAAAATTGGATAGAATTTCCACCTACCCCTCCGCCCTGATCTGTTAAAAACCAGGAGATGAAGTGAGTTATGTCCCATTAATCTTTCTCATAGAAGAACCAGACAGATGGGCTGGATGAAGCGGAGGTGAATGAAGAGAAGCACCTGCTATTTTCAGGGAGTTGAGGGAAATTGGTAAGAGAAAAAACTCACAAGTGGGAGGAGAGGGAAGAGTATTGCTCTATTACTGGATACCTTCTGAAAAAATGACTGATAGGCCTTATGCATCTATGATAATATGTGCTCACATCTCCTGATGGGGGAAAAAAAAACAAACAAACATCTCAAAAACCCAAGGATGGCACTAGCTTTACAGGTCAAGAGTCAAAGAGACTGATGAGCTGTCAGAAAAAATTACATAGCAGTGTGAAATACATAGGAGAATGTCTAATTGCTGTAGAGTCTGATGAAAAGGAGTGATGAATGTGTGTTCTCACAGCAAAGGAAGATAATGCTGTCTGAGAAGTCATCTCTGCTCAGAAAAATCACATCGTGTGTCCTCCGATTTGAACCTTGAGATGGAGGGGGTTTTGTAAGAGAGGTCCTGGAGAAGTTTCTCAATGATGTTTCTATTCAATTCAATACTGTCTGGCAAATACTAAAGGAAGCTAAACATACCTTCATTTATTTTTTTGTTTAACAACATTTTACACGTTTTCTTCTGTCACTGAACAGGGACTTCAAATGCTTGTGCCAAATGCTGAGCAACAGAACTTTCTAGAGTCCTGCGCTGTGCCAGATGACAGGAACTACCACATTTCATAGAGAAATCAACCCAGTAGATAAAGAGCTTGTTGGGAAAGTAAAGGAAATCACTAAGTGGCCAGTTTCAACACTAATTATAAAATGATCAGTTTCAATAGATGGTTTTGGTGGTTCTTTAACACAAGGGTAGCTCTTACTGACAAAACAGGACACATATTCATCCAAACATAGTGTAGATTTCAGCAGGTGTAGTCCAGCAGCCTCTAGGGATAGTGACAGCTCTACTCCTGAGTACCTGGGCCCTTGTTTTAGTGAAAAGTCCTTAGTAATGACATTTACTGAGTTAGTTATTTCATTTACTTAACACCTTTGTAGCACAGTACTCCACTGAGTAAGGGGGTTGTTTCTGTTCATTTCTGGTGAACAAACACCAGCCTGCCATTAAATCCCTCCAACATAGCTGATACAACTATCCAAAGCACCTGATAGACACCACACTTGAAAGTAATGTCTGTAAACCCATTCAAAAACCACAAGAGACATCTTTAAAGTATATTGGGGGGGGCAAGTTTCAGTTCTAAAAAGGCATCTTTGTGATCATTTTGTCTTACCATGTTTCATTGATGTAAGCCTAAAAACTGAGTACTATTTACATACATGATTTAATAATACTCTAGAACCCATTTCTAAGAATTTACTTATCTTTAAGAGTACTGCATTTAGTCAAGTTTACATTACATCTGTTTATGTAATGTTGTTTTTCTTTAAAATCCACTAAAAGGTGTTAATTAGAACTGGGTGATTAGTTCATAATGAACAGTTTAAGCAATTAATGCTCCCCCTTTTCTGACCCAGGAATTGTCTATCTATAAAGAGCAATTTTCTTGAACTTGTTATTCAAAACCTATGAAAATGATTTCTTCAGATCTGCAGCTCCTCAGTAATCAGTTTGCTGTATTTAATAGCTAGAGTTGCAGTTGGTTATTTATGACTTGATACAATGTTCTATGTTGTTATTCCTATTCCAGCATAGGTCAGAGAGACACGTTTAGAATCAGGTGGTATACTATGCACACAGCCTTTTGAATCAACCAGCTTTGATAGTGTTGCAAATATTCCCAAGCATTAGCTTGAATTTCTTTCACAATTAAGGAAACAAATTCACTGGAATGTCTCCTGGTAGGAATGCAAACATCAGCAGTGAGAGTCCGAAATCAAGAACTTCTGAGAATCAGCTGGAGGTTTTCTGCTGAGTTCCACAAAGGCCAAATCAGATCATAAACCAAACTGATTAGAAATACTGCAATAAAACCAGGGAATGTTTGCAATATCTTCCTTGCGGTATAAAGTTATATCCATGCACTTCTGGCTCAGCTCAAACACTAACCTCTTGTGCTTAGTCACAAGGCAGGCACATACAGTCTCCAAATGATCCTTTACAGTGAGATTCAGTCCAAGACTGTTTTGTTTTTTTTTATGATTATTATTCTCTTCAAGGTGATCTCCCTTCTTCAAGCGAGCACCTGTATGTTTCTTCCTTAGCACCTAAACAACATTGTTTCAACCTTGAAAATCAGGACACCACTTTTACCCTTTCTTTACTTTACCTAATGAAAACAAAAAACGAACCCTAAACAGAACAATAGTGGCAGTGTTACAGTCTGATG